CCCATGGGTGTGGCTGTTCCTACCTTGGGAACGCTGATTTTCTCTGCACGAAGAACAACTTTCAAGCTCGAGATTCCTGAGCTTCAGGGCCCTGCCCACACCTCCTGGGCTCCAGAAAGGACCCTCCAACCACCTACAGGGACCTTCCTTCATGTCTCATGGCATCTGGACCTCACTGTTCTGTGCCAGTTGGGAAAACCACCGCAAACTATCCGGAGCAGTGTCCTGGGCAGAATGGCCCCCCCGAAATTCACGTCTCCCTCGAATGTCAGAATGGGACCTTATCTATAAATAGGGTCTTTGCAGATCAAGTTTAGATGAGGTCATCCTGGATTAGGGTGGGGGTGTCCTCATAACAGAAAAGTAGAAGACAGACACAGAGGGAAGAAGGCCAGGTGACCCTGGGGACACCATGGAGCGTGTGGCCACAGGCCGGGAACCAGGGCCACCGGGAGCTGGAAGAGGCGGGAGGACCCCCACCCCCGCCGCCGGCCCTCGCGGGGAACGCCCACCTCAAGTTCAGCCTCTAGAAGTGGGAGAGAACCATTTTCTGGTGGTTAAGCCCCCAGTTTTTGGTGCTTTGTTACAATGGCCCTGAGACTCCTATAAGGAATGTTCAGAACAATTCCCAATAGGCAGGAGTCAGGCAAGTGGGTGACACTGGGTCCTTGCACTGTGTTCTCGAAGTCGCCGTCTAGCCAGTCTGCCTGAGCATCGTTCAAATGCATGTGACTTACCATTTAGTACTGACCCAGCCCAGGTGCCCTCAAGCTAGACGTTCATATGGAGCAAACAGAAAAGCTGCAAGTGATTGGCGTTCCTGTAAAAATGCAAATCGTTCCTGTCTGGCAGAAAAGATCATCCCGAAGGTTATGGTTTATTGCCCTGTGAGGGATTAACCTGTTCTAGGCCCAGTTTAGCAATCTGACTCTGGCATCTTTTTTCTTTCTCTGACCGCACGCGGCTATATCGGGGCCGGGGCGCCCTTCTGGGAACCAGCTTTGCCATCGGGCCACACTCCTGCATCCATGCATTCAATGAGACTCCGACACAGGGGCCGTTTATGTTTCTGCTGGAACTACGGTTTCAGCCTTTAGAAAAGAACGCTTTGGCAGCAGAATTTATTAAAGTGGAAAGACCAGAGAAAGTTTCAGGCAAGGTTCCATCCAGGGGCTGTTCGTACAATGTGACTCTGCCCTACTCCCCCGTCGGGAGCGGGCTCCCGGCCCTGGCATCTGGCTGGGGGCGTTTGGCCCTGATAGAGGCAGTGCTCCCAGCCCCAGGAGTGCACCGTCTTGAAGTGGGTCCCAGCCTGAGGTTGAGCAACCCCAGCCGATGCCACGTGGGCCTTCTCCAAGGCCAGCCCACACTCCAAGTTCTTGTGCAAAGCAGATTGCCGTTTTACACCTCTGAGTTCGGGCCGTTCGTTACACGGAGCTAGATAGCTCGTGTGCAGGCTGCGTGACCTTGGACGAGGAATTTAACGTCTGGGAGTCTCTATGTGTGAGATGAGGGTGAGAATACTGCCTAGCTGGGCTCGTCCTTTAAAGACTAGTAACGGGACGTCCCCTGCACCAGAGATGAAAGTCCCTTCGTTCTCTCCCGGCCAAACGTGTCATATAGAGCAATAATCATTTGCCAGGTACGGACATGTCAATTAAAAGCTGGCTGTCGCCTCTAGGTCACGGGGCCCGCAATGCTTCATTGGTCCCTCAGGGCCGTCGGACAGAGAGGCTGCAAGGAAACATTGGGGGGGCTGGGCTGTCCTCTTTCCTGCTGAGTAGTGTGATCTAGTCAAGTGGGAAAGTGCTATTTGCTGGGTAATAAAAGCGTCTTTTGTTCACGGCCCTGGAAACATATTAATGAATAACCCAGTGCGTGGCCCCTGGTGCTAGCCACGTAAAACAGTCTTTTATGTGACAAGATCAAGGTGCGATTTTCCTTTTGTAGGTTTTAGTGGGTACAGAACACCAGGCTGATCAAGGCCCCAGCAACCGGAATGAGCTTTCCCTGTGGCCCCACCGGACCCTACAGACGCTAGGGCCCAGCTCCACGCGCCGCACGACACACAGCCCAATGTCACGTGAGGCACGGAGATCCACTGCTGTGCCCTGCAGAGAGGCAGGAGCGAGTGGGGAGCTGGATGCCTCAGGGCAGGACTCGAGGAGGGGGCAGGCCCTGAGGTGGGGGCTGTGAGGGCTTGTTGGCCGGGCACTTCTCGGCAAGGCCCCTCAGTTGCTGGAACCGGCTCCTTCTCCTGGCATTAGGAGGAGGTGTGGTGCAGGATCGTGTCAGGAACCGGTGGGGGAGGGGGGCGCGGGGGGCGGTGCAGCTGGTGAGCTGTGTGACTGAGGACCCAATTTGCTTATCTCCAAGGCCTGGTATGTGGCTGGCCCTCGGGGGGGGGGGGGCATGGATGAAGTTTGGAGCTCATGACAGAGTCCTAGAGCACAGGGGCGCTGGTTGGGGGTGGGGCGGTGACCCACTTCCTCCGTTCAGATGAAATCGGGATGCCCAGTTGGGGAAGAGGGGTGACTGTGCAGGGTACAGCGCTGGGAGGAGGCTCAGCCTGGGGGAGCTGGGGTCTCCACTGAGCCCTTTCACCGTTGTTATTGTTGCCATAACGACAATAATAAGCGGTTGCCAGAGCTGACTTTTATTCTGTTACAGGTTGAACTGCACCACCCCTCCCCCACCACTTCATATGTTGGAGTCCTAGCCCCCAGTACCTTAGGAGGTGACCTCTTTGGTAAACAGTGTCATCGCAGATGTAATTAGTTATGATGAAGTCATTAGGGTGGGCCCTAGCCTAGTCTGACCGGCGTCCTCACAAGAGGAGGACCTCTGGACACAGACACACAGGGGGATGCGGTGGGAGGGGGAAGGCAGAAACCAGGCCCAGCGGCCCAGCAGCCCCCAAGACTGCCTGCCAGCCACCTGCAGCTGGGGGGCGGGGGAGGGCAGCCTGGAGCCGGCTCTCCCAGAACCTCCAGGAGGAGCCAGCCCCGCCGCACCTCCTCCGTGTGGGACATCCGGCCTCCAGAACCCGGAGCGACCACCTTTCTGTAGCTGAAGCGGCCCAGGGTGTGGGACTTTGTTGTGGTGGCCCTCACTCCTTCCTTGTCACCAGCTGAGCCCCCCCCCCAGACACCTGGGGATGCACAGCCACCCGCACAGCCTGCCGAGTGCACTCGCCCTTGGGCTTCTTGTCGTCTCAAGCTGTGTGTCTGGGCAAAGTCCAGCCTCTCTGGACTTCCGTTTCCTCATAAGGACATGACGCCGGCCTCTGCCCCTCGGTCCCTGTGAGGGTCAGCCTGGCAAGGACCCGGCAGAGCAGCCTGGATCAGGGCCTTTCGGAGCCCCCTGGGGCGGGGGCGGGGCCTGATGGGGGGAGGGCATGCCCGGGCGGGGCCTGTGTGGCGAGGGGGACCGGTCCCGTCGGTGGAGAGGAGCCCGGTCAATAACGGGCGTGGCCTTCGAGGCGAAGACGGGGCCCTGCAGCGTGGGGGCGGGGCCTGGGCGGCGGGGGCGGGGCTTGCCGCCCGCGGCCGTTCGCCGCTCGACGTGCTCGGCGCTCTCGCGGGGCGCGCTCGGCGCTCGACCCGCCGCCCTGCGTACGGCGCGCGTCCTACTCCGGGGCTCCGGCGCCGCCATCATGTCGACGGCCATGAATTTTGGGTCCAAGAGCTTCCAGCCGCGGCCCCCGGACAAGGGCAGCTTCCCGCTGGATCACTTCGGTGAGCGGCGGGCGGCCGCCGGGCTCCTGCGCCGAGTCTCGGGTCGTGGGTCTCCTCCGGTGGCGCCGTGCGGCCCCGTGGGCGCTGGCGTCCGCACGCGGTTGCAGGTGGGGAAACTGAGGCCCGCCGCGGCCCACCTCCACCACCCCGGGGGCGGGCCTGCGGGAAGAGGGGCGACAGGTTGCGGAGGACGTCCCGAGGGAGAGCGTTGCCGGCGTCCGGGGGACCCGCGCCCAGCCTCGCACAAAGCCCGCAGGCTGTCAACCTGGGCCTCGCGCGGACCTAGAAAGTCCGCTGGTCGCCGCACGTGTGCGGCCGGAAGTCCGCGTTTGGGGTGAGCCTCTGTGCGAGCCAAGGCTCCGGAAGTGGGTCCGCAGATTTGTCTCGTAACCGACGCCTTCCCCTGCAGTGTCCCAAACACGCAGCGGAGGGGCGGTCGCCGCACCATGGGGCACGCGGTAGGCTCGTCCTTTCCAGCGTGAGTGTGAAGGAGACTCGTTCTGGAAGGACGGCTGCGGGTGCGCGTGCTGTCCCACCGCGTCGCGTTTTCACTTGAAAACTCGGTGCTTTTTTCCTTTTCGTTCTAGGCGAATGCAAAAGCTTTAAGGAGAAGTTCATGAAGTGTCTCCGCGACAATAGATTCGAAAATGCTTTGTGCAGAAGTGAGTCGAAAGACTACTTAGAATGCAGAATGGAGAGGCAAGTACCTGCTGGCAATGAACGACTTCTGGAACCTCCCAGCACTCCCATGGAAGCTTTTTTTTTTTCCCCAAGAGGTCATTGCAGCGGGCCTCATTCATCCCCCAGGTTCCAAGCCTTTGTCTTTGAGAACGTAGAGTGGCTCGCCCCTGGAACGGAGGCCTGCCAGATTCAGTGGCACTGAAGGTTTCACAGTCATGGGGACCCTGCGGAGAGGGAGCGCGTCTTACGGGGTTGCATTCCTGAGTGTTTTCTTTGCACATTTGGGAGCTGCTGACCCGTCATTAAGGTTTCAGAATCGTACATCATAAAAATGCTGACGGAGTCAAAAGATGTGCAGGTCGTGGGCACAGGGTTTCTTCCTCTCACGTTCTCAGACCATAAAAATACCGTTTGGTTCCACGTAGCTCAGCAGTGCCTGAAATATGACAGGGGAGACAATGGGCCATTCAGAAACGGTGAAACATGGAGGTTTGTTCTGTCCTGACCAGAACTGACCAGTGCTCGCTTTTTTTTTTTTTTTACGTTTATTTGTTTTTTTTTTTGAGACAGAGAGAGACAGACCATGAACGGGGGAGGGTCAGAGAGAGGGAGACACAGAATCGGAAACAGGCTCCAGGCTCTGAGCCATCAGCCCAGAGCCCGACGCGGGGCTCGAACTCACGGACTGCGAGATCGTGACCTGGCTGAAGTCGGACGCTTAACCGACTGCGCCACCCAGGCGCCCCTTGAAGTTGGTTTCTGACCGCGTGTGAGGGTGTGAGCAGGTCACCTGCTCCCGTGAAGCTCAGGTGAGCCCACAGTGGCCAGCACACGCAGGCAGCCGCTCCTGCTGGGAGCTGCTCCAGAGAGTTGGGCCGTCTGGGTCCCCAGAGAGGTTCTTGGCTCGTCTGGCAAAGGACAGCAGAAGGGTTCTGACTTTTCTCCCCATGTGACCCTGGAAGTGGGCTGTCTGCTCTCCACGTGGCCACGCCTCGCTCAGCACAGCCTCTGGAGACCAGCCTGCCCTGAGGCCTGCTGAGGTCAGTGGGGACGGGGTGGCGGCGGGGGGGGTGCAGCTCGCTTCTCCGTGAGTTCCGTTATTTCAAGCGGTTTCTCTGGTTGGTCCGGTGACATTAAGACCAATGTAGGGGGTACATGTGTGTTCACACTCGGTCGGTGATTTTGGCTCTAGACTTTTGGATGGTTTTCAGTTCCAAGTCCATGACCATCCAGGTTCAGTATCGAGACTGCACATTTATTTCCCTTCCCACTTTTTGTAAACCTTTTTATTCCTTTCATGCTGAAATCCCAGACGTTATTTACTCCTACGAACGTCCATAGGCATCTTTCTTTTAATGTTTGTTTAGTTTTAGGTGGGAGGGAGGCAGAGAGGGAGGGGACAGAGGATCCGAAGTGGGCACTGTGCTCAGAGCCCAGTGCGGACCTCGAACTCCTGAACCGTGAGATCGTGACCTGAGCCACAGTCGGACGCTCAACCAGCTGAGCCACCGGGCGCCCCACCATATGCATTCTTTGTAGAAAACTGGACCACAGTGAGATTTTAGAGTTGCCTCTTGAGGACTTGGGCGTCTCAGCTCGACGTGGAAGCGTGTGTGCGGTTTGGGTGTGGATCACACTCTCGTGGGAAGAGCTGTTAAATCGGGGAGGACTTTGTTGGCCAAGAAAACAGCAAGTACACTGTGATCTTGATCTGAAGCCTCTGTGATCTTTTGACTTTGAGTTCCTGCCCCGTGCGGTGGGCATCCGGGGGCTGTGCCACACACCCTGGCGTGCGATCCGGGCCTCCTGGCCGGGCTGGAGGAGGCCCGGCGCACGCTCCTTGGAAAGCCTCAGGTCCTAAAAACCTGCACTGTCCCCTTATGCTGAAGGGGAGGCGTCCACGTCATCCTTTTGGCTTTAGAACTCGGTAATCGTTGGATTGTTGTTGTTGTGTCCTGGCCACAGAGCTGGATTTTGTGAAGACTCACACGTCTGTAGAAGGGGCCTCTTGAACTGCGTCTCATTGAGCTTGTAGTGTTTTCCCCCTCGCTCCCTGTTTGCTGCTGAACACACAGGTCCTTCCTGTCGTGTCTCGAGGAGCACTGCTGCTCCCCATGCTCCTGGTGCCCCCAGCACACTCACGTTCTGCAGCGAGACGTCTGACGCAGGTCCCGCGGGCCGCGCTCCTCGTGGATGCTCCGGTGCAGAACTGCTTCTGCCTTTCCGGCTTCTAGAGGCGCCCACGCCCCCTCGGCTCGTGGCCCTGCTCCCTCTGGAAGCCGGCGATGCCGTGTCTCTGGCCCGTCCTCCCCCTCCGTCCTTCTGACCAAAGCCAGCGTAGGCTCTCTGATTTTAAGGGTTCCCGCGTTTGCAGCTGAGTCCGCCTGGGGAGTCCGAGGCGGTCTCCCCTCAGCACCACCTGGTCGGCTCCTGTGTTCCGCCTCATCCCATCCCCCTTTGCCGCGTAAGGACACAGATGACACAGTCAGTCTGGTCTACAAGTGGACTTTGTACCTTTCAGCGGATTCCAGCTTTTTGTAACGGAAATTGCCGTGCAATTGCGTGCGCGCACCAGTGGAGGGAACGCAGCGCCGCGGCAGCTGCCCACTCCCCCGTCCCCGCGGCTGGAGCCCTCGAGGGCACGGACCCTAAACGCTTAGTTTCGTTCTCAGTGGGGACGGCCTGGACAGCCCTTGTGAAGCTTGGGTAGAGGTCATCTGCCAGGTTTTGTATTTCTGCAGGAGGGTAGCCGGCTCGCCTGGAGCCCCACAGAACCCGCAGAAAGTGGGTCGTCTGACCGGTGACCAGGTGACTCACGGTGTCCCTCGGTTCCCAGCGTGCTGGCTGAACCCTGGCTGCCTGTGCTGGCCTGCCGGGCTTGCGGGGGGTGCGTGAGCTCAGCGGTGTGTCGGGGGGGGGTCACAGCGCCAAGTGATGGTGGCTTGGCGCGGCGGGCGTCCCCTTTCCCGCCCGGGCCTGTTGGTTCCTGCAGGGACACTGAGCTCCCACCAGCAAGCAGGATGGACAGGTGGCCCCCAAGAGTTGGACCTATCCCTGCCCCCCCTCCCCCCCAAAAACGAAGCAGAATGAAAGCCAGGCCCTCCCGCCCTGGAGTGTGGGCAGTGAGAGGCTGGACGGGGACGGCTGCAGCCCAGCAGGTGCTCTGGGACATCTCGGTCTTCGAGGTCCTGACTTAAAGAGACATGGTGAGGGGCTGGCACACGGCTGGGCACAGGGAGCGGGAGCACAGTGGACACGGCTGCCGGCCAGCTGTGGGGCCACGGCTCGGGCCGTGTGGGGCACGGGGCCTGGGGCAGCAGTGAGAGGAGACAGAGCTGGTGGGCCACGTGTCCCAGTGTTTCTGAGTCACAGGTGAAGCTCACAAGTGCAGTGACCCTTGGACGACACGATGTGAACGGGGCAGGTCCACTTACCACCCAGATCTCTTGATCCGTGTAGGACCGTGTTGTAAACGTATTGCTTCCTGACCATTATCTTAACGAGCTTTTTTTGTCCGGCTGACCTGTTGGTAAGAATACGGCCGGAAGACACACGACACGCAAAATGCACGTTGTCGCTGAGGCTTCTGGTCGGCGGGGGCTGTAGTCCTTAAATTCTGGGGAGTCAGGAGTTAGGAACGGATTTTCGACTGTGCAGGTGAATGGTGCCCCTAACCTGTGGCTTGTTCAGGGGTCACTTTACCAAGTGAAGTCTGTCCTGTCCCCGCCCGCCCTGTCCGGTGCATCTTCCCAGCGACCTGGAGGCCGGTTTGAGGTTGGAGCCCTCGAACGGGACACACGTCTGCCCCAGACTGGCACCCGGCGGGGGGCTCGCGGCGGTCTGCCCGCTTCCTTCGGGGTCCCGGCTCCACCCGGCACCCCAGGGGCTTCGCACACTGTCCGCCAGCGGCCGTCCGTCCGGAGTCCAGAGGCACGGGTGTCAGCTGGGAGGAGGAGGGCGCAGAGAGGCCCTCGGGGTCCCGGGGGCCTGGGTCCAGCGGTGCCACCGGCCGCAGGCAGTTGGGATGGGAGCGAATGCGCAGGCCTCGCACGGACAGTGCTGTTCGTTTTTGTTGCAGGCAGCTGATGGCACAGGAGCCCCTGGAGAAACTGGGATTCAGAGATTTGATGGATGGAAAACCAGGGGCAGGAACTACCTCCTGATGGGTAGAAGTCCATCCACCGGCTGCTGGCTTGTCCAGGGTGGAGCGTGTTGGGCGACCTTGTCAACTGACGGTTTATGGTTAGGTGCTGTGACTTCAGAAGAAGTTTCTGGAACGCCCTCCTTGGCGGAAACCTCTCCTCTTGATGTCTCCCAGGTTATTTTGAGAAGCGATTGTCCCCTTTAGGTCTCATTTTCCCCAGGAGCCTTAGATTTTATCTTTACATTGAGAGAGTTCCTAGGGAGGCCTGTGGCGGGTGGGAGGAAGGCGAGCAGAGTCACGCCCGCTGCGCGAGGGGACACGCGGCCATCCGCGACGCGGTGACTCCCTCTGTGATATCGTCCGTAGCTTCTCAGTACTGACATGCTGAATGCTAGCGGTTTCAGCCCATCACATAGACGCTGCCCGAAAACCATTTCCTGGCAAAATGGTTTCCTTCTGTGCCCATTTATTTCCCGTGTTTTTTTTTTTTTTTAAGCAAAATATAAAATATAAACTTGGAAATAAGATTGTTAACTTTTGACATATTTGACTTACTCGTTTTTTTTCCTGGTAGTGCCTGAAACACCAGTATCTTTTTTTTTTTAATTTTTTTAACATTTTATTTATTATTGAGAGACAGAGCATGAGCCTGGGAGGGGCAGAGAGAGGAGCAGACGCGGAATCCGAAGCAGACTCCAGGGTCTGAGCTGTCAGCACAGAGCCTGACGCGGGGCTCGAACCCACAACCCGTGAGATCATGACCCGAGCCGAAGTCCGACGCCCCACCGACTGAGCCCCCCAGGCGCCTCGAATCACCAGTACCTTTGAACCAGAGGCTCATTTTCAGACCTATGTGCATGTACATAAAGCCAGTTCAATTTCAGTAACTCATTTATTGTAACTCTGGAAGTCCGGACTCTTGTAGTTTGACTTGCACACGTGGTCTTCCGGTGTGTTGCTGTGAGAACACTCATGTGCACGCGCCATCGGCACTGGCTTCCAGGGCCTCTGAGCACACATCAGGGCAGGGTCTTGTGGTGTCCTGTCTCACCGACCAGGCCCACAGCGGCAACGTCCAGGAAGGTACCAGTTTGCCTACAGTCAGTTAGACCTCACGCGTACCCAGATGCCGAGCCGGGACCCTGGGCCGGTTCGGATGTGGCCGGGGTTCAGATCCACGAACCGGGTGCTGAGTGTGTGGGGTCTGGGCCCAGCACTGCCTTCCCTGGCTCCCGGCCAGCCAGCTGACTTTTGTCCTCACGTGGCTAACGGAAGACGGCAGTCGGAGGATCCTGGGCACATCCCCACGTGGACAGCGACCCCGGTGGGGACAGCCAGCTGTGACCCGTGTCTGGGCTCCCAGAAGTCACCTCCACCCCTGCCTTGGCCATGGCTGGTAAGAGGCGTCTTCGCGTCCAGTCCTCTGCCTCGAGGCCCCTGTTTTCCGTCCTTCGGTGGCATGGTGCCTCTTGCTCAGACCCTGAAGCAGGTCCCTCCCACGTGAGTCCTTGTCCTCGGGGCTCACTCTGGACCTCCTCTTGCGTCACTGGTTGGGCACCACCGGCTCCCTTCTGCAGTTTCCGCGGAATACTGGGTCTGCCCTCCGCTGGAGTCGTACAGGTCTTTTGTGTCCGTGTCTAGTTTATGAGGTGTCTTGGCTTTTACCGCCAAGCCGAAAATCAGGTCACGAGAGTCCAGTTATATCCGCGCAAGGGTATTTGCCGTACAGATCACTGAGGCCATGCAAATGCCCACACTTGCGAGCCTTCAGTGACCTGAGGCCGGTCCACACGGTTCACTGGTGCAGCCACGGGCGGGTGCAGGCGGGGCGGGGGTTGGGGAGGTCTGCGCTGACGCGGAGTGACTCCATGAGAAAGGCAGCCTCCAGAAGCATCTATGGTATCGTTAACAAGAAAGTCGCAGGAAGCTGGAAGCGTCTGTGGGTTTGTGCAAACACGAAATCGAGGAAGGAGAAACCGGACGCTGAGAACGGTCAGCAGCGTGTAGTGTGGCTCAGAGTCCCAGCCGTCTGCCCGTCTCACGTGCGCAGAAATGAAGCCGCGGTGGTGGCCCAGTCAGGTGGCGGGGGGAGGGGGTTCCGAGCGGCGCACAGCTGGGGCAGAGCGTGGCCGGAGTGGACAGCAGAGGTCAGCCTGGCGCTGGGGACGAGGAGACAGGCTGTGTCCTCTGGGCAGTGGTTCACCCTCCCCAGCTCTGAAAGGGAGCGGGAGAGTGCAGACTGGGTCCTGCTTGTGTCACAGGTGTAGGTGGCCGCACAGAGAGAGACTCGGCTGCGTGTGTGCATCCACACACGTGTGCCGGCCAGCTCTGAGCACCCGGGTCCTGGAGCTGCGACACCGGAAGCGGGAACCAGGCTCCTGGGGGGACAGCTGACGCTGGGGCCAGTGCCCGAAAGTCCACGCCGAGCCTGGACCATTTTGTGTCCGAAAGTAAGGGATTCCTGGAAGAATGAGGGGGCACGGCCACGCCACGGAGCCACACATGGGCCAGTTGGAACAACACAGTATTGTAGTGGGTTGTGGTCCTCAGAACAAATGACTGTCCAGGAGTCCACACTCATAAATAATTAACGGAGGGCGCCTGGGGGGCTCAGTCGCACAAACCGACTCTTGGTTTCGGTCCAGGTCATGACCTCTCGGTCGTGGGATTGAGCCCCACGTCGGGCTCTGTGCTGATGGCCTGGATCCTGTTGGGATTCTCTCCCTCTCGTTCTCTGCCCCTCCCTGGCTCACTCACTCCCTGTCAAAAATAAACATTGAAACAATTTTCATAATTAATGGAATAAATGTGTCAGGGAGGGAGGGACAGTGCCCGTAGTGGCACTGGGGACAGCAGTCCCTCCACAGCGGCAAGGGGTGCGGATGGGCCGCCCGGGGGCCTCCCCTCAGGGCGCCCAGCACTTACAAAGGGAGCCATAGGGTCAGTGTGGTCACTTTAGGTGCGTGGTCACCACTTGGTGACCTGCCCACGGCTGCTGCCCCCATCTGATGCCCCGAGAAGACCATATCCTTCTGGGGTTTTCTTACCAGAAATGGTCACCTCTGTCCATTGAGCCAACGCCAAACTGAACACGTTCTGCAGAGTGAGGACCAGGTGCTTTGGGAGCGCCAGGGTCCTGAAAGATAAAAACTGAGGAGGGGTCCAAGGAGACTGACTGCCACGCGGGCCCTGGGTCAGGGCGGATGGTGGCAGGCAGCCCGGGAGGCCTGGCGACCCACAGGACGCTTGGATTCTTGTTCTATGATGACGTAAGATGTTTGGGGAAGCTGGACGTATGAACTCTTGTCCAGTTTTTGCAAATTTTTGGAAGTTCTAGGGGCACCCTCGTGGCTCAGTCGGTTAAGTGTCCGACTTCAGCTCAGGTCACGATCTCACGGTTTGTGAGTTCGGGCCCTGTGTCCAGCTCTGTGCTGACAGCTCAGAGCCTGGAACCTGCTTCAGATTACATTATTTCAAAATGAAGAAAGTATGTGGCATCAGATTCTGCGTAGTCTAACTGTACGTGATTGAGAAAATTCTCGCTCTGAAACGCATTCAGTGGATTTCGCAGCAGGTGACGTGACTCAGTGGTGTCAGCCCGGGGAGAGGAAGTGTGGGGAGAGAGCCCAGCTCTCTTCGAAGGAGCAGCGGTCGGCATCGCCTTGGACTTCCCAGATCAGAGTCGCTAGCCACGTGGCACACGTCCGTGCCGGACGTGTGTCCGCTTGAGCAAAGCCACCTAGGCACTTGTCACAAAAAGCCACCAGCCATATTCAAAGGTGCCCACGGGTGACCTCCAGGATGTTTTCCAAGTGTCCTCATGCAGGAGACGGCTTTCCCCGCCCACCGTGGTGAGGCCTAGGCCCACAGCCGCCTTCCCCGAAGATGAGCCCTTCCCCGGTCTGCCTCCCTCCGGCCCCTCGGGTGGGCGCGCTGGATGTGCCCGTGGCCTCAGCCGCACGATCGTGTCCGGAAGCGCTCAGGACGCAGCCCTGGGGTTCCCTCTGCCCCGCCGGCCCTGTCCCTCCCACTGTCACGAGCAGGACAGACTCCCCTCCACGAAGCGTCCTGTGCTCACGTAAGTCACCACAGACCCAGTGGCTTAAACAATACAGGTTTATGTTTATGCTCTGACCGTCCACAGGTCAGAAGTGTAGATGGGCCCATAGGGCCGCGTTTCTTCCGGGGCTCTGGCGAGAGTCCGTCTCCTTGTCTTTCCAGCTTCTAGAGGCGCTGGCGTTCTTGGCCCGGGCCTGTCCTTGAGGGCGGTGCCTTCTCTCTGCCCTGACCTTCCCCCCTCTCCTGTCTTCTCCCTGACTCTGACCCTCCTGCCTCCTTACAGGGATCCTCCTGTTGACAATGCTGACCCAAATAATCCAGGGTCGCCTGCCTGCTCAACCTCCTTACCCTAATCACACCCAGAAAGTCGGATTCACGGGGTCGAGCCAGGGATGGGGCATCGGACCGCGTGGGCCTCGGGGCCGAGCAGCTGGCTGGTGGGAAGCTCGCGCAGGCCTGTGCCCAGAGGATGTGCTTTTGGGCAGCTGTGGGGTCTGTCTCCCCTGCAGTGACCCCATCACGGGTGGAACTTGCTCAGGGCTGCTGGAATCCCATATTTTTCTGAGGTCTTTGTCACTGGTCGTTACTGGATTTGCAGCCACTCTCGCTGGTGACGACAGAGAATGAGTATGGCTTAATAAACGGGATCAGAAGGTCAGAACCGGCCTTTGCACGTATGACATGACCCCTCTTCCCGTAAAGCGTCTCTCTAGACATTTCCGGATTCGATGTAGACGCGAGAGAGGTCTGGGATCCCATACGGTGAGCGTTCACAGTGCACGTCCACGTGGCGGGCACGTCTGGACGGACCTATGTGGCTTTCCTCCAAGTATTTTTCTTTATGGCTGTATTTTATAACAAGCGTGTATCGTTTTTATAGAAACAATCGTTAGTTTAAAACTGCTTGTGTTTGGCCGTAATTTTATATAACCTATAAATTACGTGCTTGTGGTTGTAATTTTATATCGTGCGTGAATACTGCCCGGTTTCTTTTTCCTGGTAAAACTGTGCTGGTTTTGGGTTGAGATGCAGTTCTGCGAAGCACACAGGGCTGGCCTGATGTCCCCAGTGGTCACTTGATGGAGTCTTGGAGGGGAGGCGTGGCGGTCTGCTCCGGTCCCCCCCCCCCCCGTAGGAAGGCGGGAACACCGTCACAGAGCCAGCCCTCCGACGCCTCCCCAAACGAGAGCCCCTTCCTGTCTGTGCTGCCTGCCTCCTGCTGGTCTCTACCGGGAACCAGAGTTCAGTGCTCGCTCGTCATCCCACCCACCTGGCATTTGGATTCAGTCTTTGAGTGAGATTATTTACGGGTGAAAAGGCAGGGATTTTATGACTGCAAGAGGCAGTGAAGAACTTTCTATTAATCCACAGAAGTGACTCTCCTATGAGGAAAATTGTGAATCTCTAGTCTTTGGGAAGAATGGAACCAAATTCACACCTGCCGCACACAGAGCTTTGTGGGGGAAGGGACACCTCCTGGGGAG